TTCACACAGACAGACGTCTTAGCACCTCTGGATCCCAGGGGTACAGAGTGAATTTCTGGTCCTCGGAATTAGCTTCTTCAATAGTTAGACCCCCCAAGTGCTGACATGAAGATATTTTTTCATTGGTTAATTCTAATATCAAAACTATGTTAAATTTTAGTTGCTGAGCTGGGCTCTTTAGACAAGAGATACTGTCTTCTAATATTTGAGATTTAATTTCTAAACTCTCAAATTGTGAATGTGGAAGGAAATTTTTATGAAATACCCTGAAATTGTAAATGCACCCCGCATGGGCATTTAAGCAGCGAAAGAAGTTCTTTATAAAAATGTTTAATAGAAATAACTAGATAATTTGGACTGAAATAAATTACAAATCATCAAAGATGGAAGTTTGTTGTTTGGCAATTTTAAAATGAATACTTTTAGTCCACAAATAAGTTTTTTAAACAGACCTGTTTAGGTGCACATATTAAAAGGCAGAAACCTTTTGCTAGTGTTCCTCATCTACTGGAATGGCCTTAATATCTGACCTCTCTAATTTGGAAAGTAATTTTAGATTCTTAGCCAAGAAGAATCTTTCGTGAACTTCACTTTTCTAGGCTGCACATATATCAGAGAAATGTGATCATTTAAATTCTAAAGGATGTTTGTTTCTTTTAATAGCATAGCGGAGAATTAATGGCATGGGGGAGGTGAAGTGACAGCTTAACTTGATGCTTGATAGCTGTTTACTTATGACTGTGTGCCACAGACTTGTGTCTGTAAAAGAAGGGGAAATAAAGAAACCGATGGCTTTTAGGGACCTGCAGGCACCTGGAAGAAAGTGCTTGGAAGGCTATTGAAATATTTACAAAACAGATCATTTACATTTAGGCTTTGTATATGTAAAACCCCAAGTGCCTACAAAAAGAGAGAACCAACTTTGGCTATAAGAAATATTTCAGCATCAAAATGGTTAATAGTATTATAGCTTCAAAAGAGCCTATTGGCTCACCCTCAAGGATGCCCTGCAGTTGTTGTTAAAGTCATCAGATGAAGCTAGCCTTCTCAGCTAGCCTTTAGATTTGTCTGCTAACAGTAAAAATACTATAATAAATCGGTAACATATGTTACCAGGCAAGGAAAAGAGATATAGATAAAGAGACTAGGAGACCCAAACCAAGTATAATGTGAAAAGAATGTAACGTTCCATCTATTGGCTGGCTAATTACCGTTTGAAAACTAATTTGAAAGTGTTACTGTGATTTGCTTATGTTCTTCCTCATTTTTCTTTTTTTCTCTTCAGATTGCATTCTTACCCAAACACTCCTCGTGATTGCCTGCTTTGCGGCTTTGGGGTAAGTCCCAGCTTTCCACAACCTTAAGGAAAAAAAAAAGCATAACATAAAAGATGCGAGAAAGTCTTCTGTGTCCTGATGTTCGGGGGTCTGTGAAATAGACATGGGCTTGTTGTGGGAGGGGGTAATGAAATAAAGAGAAGGGGATGGCTTCTGCCAGGATCAAAAGTGTAGGAGAAAGTCCGCATATATGCAAACGAGGTTCCCATCAGGAAAGCCGCCTCTGGACAAAACGACAAAGCTTGGAACACACACAATCCATTATTCTCACTAGCATTTAAAATATAGAAAACAAAATCTGCTTTGGGAATTGACTGAATATTTTAGTTAGCTTTTTTATTGAGACATCCTTTGAAAAATGGCATAATATAAATAGTTTTACAAAGCAACAATATAATCAATCTCTAAACTAGAATATAAATCAAGGATTTCATTAACTGCGGGTAGCCAGTTTAAATTGTAGTCTTGTCCATAATGTCTATCTATCTATGTATGTCCAAGTTATATTAAAAACCTTTAAATGGCTTTGTAATATCAGCTACATCTAGCTATTATAATAATTAATGGTACTGTTTTATAAATCAATACATGTATTCTTGATAAATTCATATCCAGTTAATGGTGTAATTTAAATAAAAAATTAATGTAATAAAGGACAGACAGAAGCGAGCAGGAAATCTTTAAAGGTTAAGAGCCAAATTTGTCTAAATTCATTCTTAACCTGTTTTGGAAAAGTTTATATTTAAAACCAGCTGCAATTTACCTTGTTTTCTTAAAATTAATCTTGCCATTTCTGGCCGTATCTACTATTGAATTTTTAGGGTATGTATTTTTAACTTTTAAGTTTTAATCACCTACTTAAAATACTGTGGAATATTTTACTGCTATTATATTTGGTTATTACTGAATATCCTTTAGTAAAACAGAACCAAAAATAATGTCAAACCAGTATTCAGTTTTACACACAAATGAAATGTAAATACTTTTATTTCTTATATGTATATAAGTGAACTGTGCTGAAAGTCTCCAAATCTATATATAGATTTTATTTCAGAGGCAAAAGGACTGATTGGTTCAATGAATTTGCATGTGTAAGAGCCTCGTGTTTTCACCCCTTCTGCTGGGTGACACTCCAGGAATTTTAGAAAGAAAAAAAAATGCACGGGAGAGTCTAAAATGTATGGTAACGCTGTACACGGGTAGAAAAACATTCTGCATTAAGAACAGCGTATTCCTGTTGTAATTTAAAAAGCACAGAGCAAAGGCATGTTAAAGAATAACAAGATTCAGAAAAAAAGCACTGAAGGGTGCATGTTGACAAACAGAATCTTGAACCTTTCCAAATAAAATTTCATTCAGCTTATGGAGTAAGCATTTAAAAAAAAAAATGTCTTCTTTTAGAATTATGCAGACCGGTCTGCCCTGCCACCCTCCCTGACATGGTGCAGAAATATTCCTTTAATCCACTGAGCTTTTTCTGACATTTTTCGTAACATTGCTGAGTCTTATTTAGAGCAGCACAGGAGGCGTGTGCAGTTCCCTTTGACACTGATGGGTGTTTCAAAATGTCTCGAAATGTTGAGAGGAGGGGGGAGAGAGAAAGAGAGAGATCTGCTGCCAGTCACTTCATCAATGGAACTACAGGGGCAATTACTATTTGTTAAAAGTTTACATTTCAAATGAAGCTCAATTTTAAAGAAGGCTCCTCCTTTTCAAAGGTCTGGTGCTTAGGAGAGGGGAGAAGAGAAGGCACAGGAGTGATTACCCGCTGAAGTGCACTCGAGTACTGGAACCATTTAAAATGTATTGTGAGGTATATAATCACCAGTGTGATGTAAACATTCCTAATTCTATATGAAATCAGCACATGGTACCCCATAAATGCATTAATGTATACATGATCTATGCGTTTATGATTTAATAAAAAAATAAAATGTATCGTGTTTTTAGACGAAACCTGCAGCAAAACTTCTCCTAAGAGGCTTAATTTAGGTTTTATAGTAGGAACATAAAAAAGACCAGGATACAGCAACACGCTGAAATATGGGGTACATTTTAAATATCTTCATTTAAAAACGTATGTTTATTTTCCCTCCTGGGATCACTAACCGTGTGTCTCTGTAGAGAAAGCAAGGACATGCTACATTCTAAAAAAATTATCTGTTACAAGGATCACATTCCAGGACAGGTTTGAGCATTTTTATTACTACAGATAACCTCTTAATTATGTCACTGCCTTCCACTTGTTAATCAGGGACATTCAACAGAGTTAACCATGGAGTGGCCGCCTTTGGAAAAATACATTCTCGTGGAGGATGAGAAACACATTCCTTGAATCCTACACGTATTACACCTATCCTTTTAGCACTGCTAAAAACCTGCGTACTGATCTGCTTTAAATATGGTAACACCTATGAAACGGTGGAGACGCCCGTAACTATGTTGTTCATTACTTGCGACTGTGTAGTCCATGAAAAGCTTTCAGGGACAGATAATTTTACTTTTCCTGCCTCGCCCCTCCCCCTCTCCCACGTCCCCTGAAATTGCTATTTGAACTAATTTTAGGTTCCCTCTGCAGTCAGCAGGGTCTGAGATACTCAGATCGTCTTTCAGGGAAAAAGGTGTAAGTGAAGTAAATAAAATCATGTCTCACTGTTGCTTTATCAACCCTCCCAGGTAGTTTTTCTGCCAGTGAACCTGCGCTGTTAAGACCCATAAAATTATGCAATAGTGACTGCTTTGGAGGTTCTCTAATCAGATAATGGCTGGTGTTGCGAGGGAAGGGCCCAAGGCTATGTTGCTGGCACTTAACACTGTGGTTGGTCATTACTTCCCTGGTAAAGACCAATAAACAACTGATTACTATCCTGTAAGGAGCCAATATTTTACATTTATCCTGGTTATTTTTCCCTTTCCTTTTCAACTTCTTATACTAGCAAGTATTTGTCAAGAAGAGCTATGAGGAATAAACCTCACAGGCACCTTAAAAATAAGAATTTTCCTAGCAGGAAATGATGCTTTTGTGGCAAGGTGAGAATAATTCTGGCTTTTAGAAGAGCAAAGGTTTGATTAGTTTAAGTCCATTATTTTCAGTCAGGGACACTCCTGGACACTATCCCTGTGGCTGCTCTGCCCCCTTCCTCCCTTTGTGACAGGTTCACAGGCTGCAAGGAAGGGGGTTCAAAATGCAAATATTTATATTTGAGCTCTGGCAATAACAGACTTGTTTTGCTTCCTCCATAAGGCTGTGATAATTGATGCTTCATACCTGAAACTACGTTTCATTTATCTCTTTACACATGAAGATGGTATATAAATAAAAGGTAATTTATGGCAAGGAAATGGCCATTCGAAATAATAATCCTACATTTGACTATATAATCTTTTACGGCTGTAAGAGTCATCAATGCAAATTTCTACACTTCTAAAGAAAACTTGATTGTAAAGGGGAAATTTGTGCATTTTTGAATGCTTATTGAATTTGAATGCCTGGGTCAGAGAAGAATAAGGTGGCTAAATGGAGGCCAGGAGAGAAAAGGTGTGCATTTTACATGTGTATCAAACCAATGTATTCAACCACCTATTTAGACTTCTTGTTATAATTTCATTGACTTTCTCTTTGCATTTAAATATATATATTTTTTTACTTAATCAGTGCAAATTGTAAAATAGGGAGTCTTTTAATATGCCTTTCCTTCCCTGGAATCATCATCTTAGAACGTACAGAGGTACACTGCTAAGAACTGGACCTTGGTTTCACAACCTCATACAAAGCCAGGCAATTCTTGAGCCAAACAAACAAAGGGGGTGTAAGCGATTTCATTTATTTTGATAATCCTCCTCCTGCACGGGAGCATTTTGCTGTCTTTGTCAAAGTGAATGACAACAATTTGGCCAACTCTCTCTGAGCTGCACTCCACAGTGACAGGCAAATTATCAGAGGCCCTGCACTTCTTATTATCAGAGGAGAAGCCATCAGGGGGACGCATGGAGGATACCTCTCCCTTGTCACTATTTGTCAGTGGGACAAGGGCCACTGCTATGGGTAGCTGACAGGTAATTTCAACAATAACAATTACTCCTATTACTGGTGTCATAAACAATTCGCCCAAGGCATGACAATAGCAAAGCTTTATAATTCAATGCCATATAAATAAATGCCAGCAGGTAACAAGTAATTTAGCTCCAATCAAGCCTTCACCCTGGCATTAATATTGTTATTGCAAGAAAATGGAAAATTGAAAAAATTCAATATGTTAATGAATTAAGAGAAGTTCAAGGGCTAGGTGAGAAGAGTAGAGGAAAGAAAGCCAAAATTATTATGCTATCATATTTGGTGCTATCTCGGGGGCCAAACATCAGTATAATTATGTTAAGAGGAGAAGGGAAAGGTGGAGTGCTGTTGCCTTAGCCTTCAAACCAGAGGGGGGAAACGTGACATGGCCTTTCAAAAAATCCGCCTCGCTCCAATTTCTGAAGAGCGTACGTAGAAATATGAGAATATATACATAATGTAGCATTTCACTGGCTTTTTTTTCTACCTGAACTATTTCCTAGGAAGGAGAGGCCTGAGTATCAAAGGAGCATTTCCATCTGTTTAAGAGAATCACATCGGCACCTGCTTCTTTTACATGAAGTCTCATAACAAAACTATTTTAATAAGGCCTTTTTTCTGTGGGGTGAAGGTAAAGCTGAAAGTCATCTCTGCTTCGCAGCTGTCCACCTTTTGGATGTGGACTGGAGGATACAGTGCTAGCTTCCTCCGTAAAACTTCCTGATCAAACCAATTTGCAATTTTAGTATTTGTCCAGCGAGACAATGTGCCATCACGGTGACAGCAGTAAAAGAATTTGAAAATCTCTAATTAGGAGAGCTGCGGAGCAATTAACGCATGTCAAATTTCACTTCATCAAGTGCCACTCTAATTTTCCCTCTAAAAATTAATGGATTTTTTTTCTTTTGGTGTGTGTGTGTCCCCTTAAGGCAATGTTGATTCAAATCTGCTCAAGATGCAGTGTTGCACAGCTAAGCATCTTCTTGATTACAATCCGCCACACTTCTAACTGCGCTCATTCTCACTGCCACGGATACTTTGTCAACAGTCAAATTACACCACGCTGATAACAATGCATAATGGTGTTCCTCCTCCGAGGCCCCTGTCAGGAGAGGGGGTTCATAAAAATGGGATTGTTTGCTTCTCAACTGTTTCTAAAGGAAGTTTGTATAACCAGGTTCCTCATCAGGCATTCATTTTTTAAAATCAACTTGTTAATTTCCCAAAAAAAGGAACAAAACGACAGCATATGAAAATTCTTCACTGAAAAAAGAAATCTGAGGAAGAATGAGGAATTGAGACTATCTGTGGCCAAAGTTTTGCTTAAACACTTTGTTCGGAGACATTTTCAAGAGCACTATTCTTGGTTAAATACCAGATTTTTTTCCCCTTTACTTATGATCTATAAACATTGGAAGCCTCTCTTGAACAGACTGTATTTAGATTGTGCGAGAAGTTTGTTTAACTGCCATATTTGCCAGAATCCTCAAAACATCACAGGACACAGAAGATGAATGACTTTTTTGGGGGGGGGGTGCGGGGGGAGGTGGGTCAGGCCTGTATATCCCGGATAAATGTTGATTCATTTTAACTATTTTTTATCCTAGTTGCTTGTTGCAGATTGGTATGTCTGAGACATCAGCACACGTAAGGAATATTACTCACTGAAAAATGGAAGACAGAAACACAGCCATTAGAAGATGATTTTTATGGTCCTTCTTTTCAGAGATTATTCAGTTTTTAATTTTTTTTAAAAAAACTATCAGCTTTAGAACGAAAAACAAGGAAATTAAACAAAATGTTAACTATATCTCCTTATAGATTTTCAGAAAGTGGAGAGCATTCGTTCAATTGATACCCTAGTTTTCTCCGTGTGTGAGTCTAATTTTTGATCGTGTTTTCTTTAGCCATATTTATTCAATAGCATAATCTAAATTCATGGAGTCTGCGCTTTAGCTTTTTAATTCACAGGTCAAATCCAGCTTTGTATTTACCGACAGCTAACTCAAAAATTAAAACTCGGTGTTTTGAGGTTTGTATTTCCAAAAAGTCAAGGTCTGTTCCTTCTCTTCTAGCCCCACCCAGCATGTTCCTAAGTGATCTACTTCAAACAAAAGAAAATGACATCCCCCTTTCAACTAGCCAAATGTTAGATTCTCTCAAAGCCGACTGGGGACTCTCTGGAAGTTTTTGCAATTAGATTCACGCAAATTGAATTATTTTCTTTCTTCCCAAACATCATTCTTCCAACTTTATAAATATAATTATACTGCGTTACAGTTTCTTGTGGCTCGTTTACAAATAAAGGTATTTTGATAAAGCCAAGCTCTGTGTACCTTGGAAGAACAAAAACCTGAAACAATCTCATATTAAAATATTACAAAAGGATTGTAGAGGGAAATTTAAAGGGAGAGAACTTGATTATATAATGCAATCCAGCAGTAATCAATTTTACCTTCAATATCTTGCTTTTGTTTTCAAAATGCTAAATAAACAATACATAATGCATCCCTCATCAGCCAAACCATGGAGGCTCTGTGCTCAAATAACAGGAAACATATTCAATTTTCCTAACAGAAGACAGTTCATTAAGCTGTGCCACATCAAATAAAACTTTAATTTCTCCAGCATCAGAGTCGCAATGAAAGCAATTGAAGAAGATGAGCCATATGGTACTTCTATCAGCAAACACATATTGCTCATTCCCCCAAAGTTTTCTAATTCTACTCCCCAGACCTGTGTAATATAGATAATGTGCTCCGAGAGCAGCAACCATGAGCTATCTAGTGTACACTTCTAATACTGTATTTAATGGGAAATAATGAATCATAAAAGCCTCGAGAAGACGGCTTTTGCTAACCTAAATCTCAGCTGTAATTTCATTGTTCTGTGCCTAAGATGCTGCTTGCCCTTTCCAAACAACAGCAGTTGAACATAATTATACCGCTACAAACCTGGGCTTGAGAAAGCATCCCTAAGATAACCAAGTTTCTATTAACTCCTGAAATTCTGAATTTAAGGACGCACTGATCCAGACGTGGAGATAACCGAGCATGTGTCATTTTCAAATCCAAATACGCCTTTTCTCCTCCTCCTCTTTGGTCAGACTGCTCAGTGCTCTTAATGCTCCCTCCTCCACCCTCTCCCTGCCTCCACCCCCACCCCCACCCCCACCCCATGCAACAGGAGTGGCCTGATTAAAAATGAGCAGATTTTCTCGTTATTAGCAAATTTGACATTTGCCTGATGAAATGCACATAAAATGTGAAAGCTACACAGTACCCAGAAGAAATGTCTCCACTCCAATACTGGCTCCCAAGATGAAATAATTGAGGTAAGGGAAATGTGGAGCTCCTCGTGCGTCTCTGCGGCAGAATGCTAGGATTGGGTTATAAATGAAAGAGCCAAATAGTGCTGAGCTTTTGGAGTGGTGGTATTTCCACACACAGGGAGTGAATAGTGTTTCTTCTCTCCCCTAGCTGCTTTCCCTGATCACCTAAACCCCACGCACGCTCAAACGCAGCGATTTACACGAGCCTAGCCTCCCTCTGCTAGGATCTTGGGGTCAGGGTTCTCTTCATTGCTAAGGGAGAAATGTTGTTTTCCCCTCGAACAGGTCAATAATTTAAGCTTTTCCATTTTTAAAGCTCATCGAATCAATATTTTACCAACATGATGCTAATTTAAAATACCATCAAATAACAATGTGGATACATATTGAAAACATATCTTAATGGTTCTGTTTGTTTTGGTGTCATATGAACCAAGAACAATTAAATTAAAAAAAAAGAGACTTTTAAAAGTTAGAGATTGCCTTTTTAAAGCTTATTAAAATCAGCATGTTACATGCCTGTCTCAGAATTAGCTCTCACACTTGATTGCCATCATTAAAACTAGTTGTTTGGGTGCTGCTCCAAGCCAGTTCTTACCAGTTATTTACTTGAAATCTCTTTCCATGAAATTAAAATTGAAAAAACAAAAAGACCTTTCTCACTAGTGGAAGAAACTGCCAGCAAAAAGAGGAAAAAAATTAAAAAAAAGAAAACTCAAAAAACAAATGTGAACTACCACAGCAAGACAGCAACATTAAACCACAAAAAAGACCAACAGGTAAAATAACTACAGTAACATCTAAAACACACTCAGGAAAAAAAAGCAAAAAAAGAAAAATCACAATAACAACAAAGAAGCAGTCCATTGATTATATTTCATGAATGCCTTAAAACAAATGTTTAAACAGTTTTCTGAAACAGTGCAGAAAACCTCTGCATGCTCCAGTGGGCTGCAATGACAATGGTCTATTGCAATGTAAAACACGCTGGGGATAAAAAGGTGCTTTTTGTTACCATTTTATCAAAGCTGTTCATCTTCGAGCTGCAGGCAGCATTTTGCTGGAATTGCAGATATTTCTCTGTCCAGGCTCCTTTGTTTGTGCATCTCATTTGCATATATTTATCTCCAGCTGAGGGTGCTTTCTGCTCATTAAGGCCTCCCTTCACATTATTTCATAAGCCAGCTGCTAAGAGGGATTTCACCTGTGGTGACTGAGAAAAGAGGGGTGAAAAACTAAATTCTTCATAAAAAGGAAATCTTCTGAGTCTCTTCCCCTATAAATGGGCACCATTTGTGTTAAACAGCCTCTTGTCATGATAGATGCCTCCGGAGGTCAGGGGTTAAAGTTGATCTGAAGGTCAGCAGTAAAACAACAGACAAACCAGACGCCAAACTGGTTCCTTAGCTGTCGGTGGGAGCTGTGGTACAACCAGGTCTTGAACCTTTTTCAACCTCTAATAAAACAGGGGATGAATCTGAAGTGGATCAACCAGGCCCCTGAGGAAGCAGCACAGAAAAACACAAATAATATCAATATCAGGCAGCCACAGGAAACAATGGGGCATTTCTCAGTGCTACATGCATGCTGCTATTGTTTCAAGGGCTGGGGAATTAATTCCACTTATTTATTTAAGGCGTGTCAACTCACTGCCTAAACCTGTTTCAGTGTCAAGATGAATAAAACTTTTATGGCTCATAAAATAGAGCCATTCATCTCAATGTTCTTTGTGGTACGTTTTTTTTTTTTTTTTTTTCCCCTAAGCATACTGAGCTAGGCCCCTGCTCTGAAATGGTTACATCTGAACCCACTGCTGCTGCGATCC